CCAAAGGACAGTTAGTTACAAATAGATGTATTACAAAAGGATTTAAACCTCCCTATTGCTCGAGGGGGGAAAAAATGATAGTGAAGAAAGCATTTGAGTGAGAATATACAGGATGAAAAGCAGAGTTGAAATGTAGGAGCTGCCCTATAGACTGGATGAAGAGCAAAGCAAAGACTCTTCTGTCTGTGGCTCCCCAGTCTTAATCATGGAAAAATGTATCCAAGAGGACCGTGAATCCGATAGTAACCGAGACATACGGCTGTTGAAAGGAATTACACAGTATAAGGCTATTAGAATTTTAAAAATAGTGTTTGAGAGAATTAAGTATTCTGATAAATAAGGTATAGCTAGAATTATCATTGACATCAACACAACTGTCCATTTTTCTTTACACTCACTATTCAACATGAATCTTTGTTTACCAGTTTAATTTACAGAAATCAAGCCCAAAATTATAACTTCCTATAAAATAAACATGATAGCACCACATTTTCCAAACAAACTTGGATCGTTTCATTTTTACCTGGTTTTGGAAAAACAAAATTGAAATCATTTCATACAAAATAAAAATACCACCTTTCGTATTTCCCCTACTGAAATGCTCTGCACTCCAGAGCATTAAACATGCAACACAACATTTTTTTTTTTAAGAAAAAGATGCCAACTTGGATAGCAGTAGTTATTACAATATTAGAGGTCTTTGAAGAGACTGTATTTCTGCTACTTTTTGTGCTTTCATTATCTTGTCCCTTTAGATTTTGTTAATAATATTCAACGCAAACCTTAATTGAAAACACTCACGAAGTTCAGTTTGCACAAAACTCAAATGTTTACCGTTCTAAAATACAAAAGCTTAGCAACACATATGATGACCAAAATCTTGACAGTCAGTGACAGTAACCTTGAAGTCAGTGACAATCCTCCCTCTAACTCCAGACCAAGGTGTCTCAGGTTTTTTCCCTTGCTTTTTCCTGAAGGTAGGGCAAGGAAAAAAAAACACCCAGGAGGCAGAGGGGACACTACACAGCACAAATGGCACGCTCATCTTTAATTTGGGGAATAAATAAATAAATAAATAAATCTACTTATCATAAACACAAATCTGCTGAATAATTCAGTTATGTGGTAATGACCATTGGATAGCTAACCTGCATCTGGCAGATGCACAACAACAGGATAAAGATATACTTCTTTAGCATTCCCCTTTTTAACACAGCGAGAAGAAAAAAACAGATGAATTTTCAAAAGCACTTACGTGATATTAGAAATCTGAATCCCATTTTAAGAAGTAGCTTAAAAATATCAGCTTTCATTGAAAATTGGGCTCATTTACTTTTGAGAATTCAGCAGTGTGCTTAGCAAAATTGTTGGGTGTTTCTGTATTTTTGAAAGTCTGCCTCTTATGACCTTAAGCATTTATTATAAACTTTAGAGACTTCCACATCTAAACACATTCATCGCTTTTAAAAGCAGGACTTCCCCTATTCTAATAATTATACTTCAGAGACGCAGACACATTCCACAGGGAGCAAGACCGTGGACTCAAAGCACAGCTAACTACTCTCCAGCTGTGCCCTCTTGACACACTCTCTCTAAAAGGGCTCCGAGAACTCAATCTTGCCATGGAGTCTCAACCTAGGTGTCCCAGGACACAGCCTACTTCCAGCCTATAAATTTTACCAGCTTTGTCCATCTGTGTTGCCCTGGTAAATTCTGCTGGTTACGGATATAATTTTAAACAGTGCCCGAGGTATTCTCTATCTCAACTTCTACCTGGTCTCTTTTGGATGTGGGATTTATGCCTTTCTCCTATTCACCCTGAAGGCTTGTGGGAGCTAAGTTACACCAGACTTGAACTAAAACCTCTTCATATATCTTCCAAGAGAAAACTGAAGAGAAGTCATATTCATGGCACAAACAGACATAATACTACTGGATTCCTACCAGCTCAGTGATGTTTGCAGAATTATGTCTGTTTTTACCAGTTCTGACTCTGCCCGTGCTATGGAGCAGGTTGTTTCTCTTATAAATATTTATCTGAGCAAATTTAGTATTCACACTCCTAAAATGTTAGACTTACTGATTGAATACTATTAACAAATTTGTCCTAATTTTTGTCAGCATGTAAAATGCACTGTGCAGGGTGAGGAAAACTCTTCAGTTTTTTGTGGTGACTCCTCTCCCCCTTTCAGGCACCTCTTGAAACATGAGGAGTAAACTGATTCCTACTTCTTATCGTCAACATTGTAAGCACTTCCTACAGGGGGTGGGGGGAGGTGTTCAAAAAGGCTCACAGAGATTATCTTTACTTAGGCTGTATCATTAATTAGGCAACTTGGCCAAGGCCAGTAATTACAACCGTGCCAAATTGCACTAAATTTCTGTAGCATTTGATGTTTCATGGGAAGCAAGGTGAAAAGTTGAAAGAATAAAAGCCAACATAGTGACTTTTCTTACCTAATGATTTCTAGTACGTCTGCTGGGAAAAATGCTCACCACGGACCTGGCTGATGTAGGTGGCCAGTACGGGACTGACAGAAGAGCGGCACGTGAGCTCTCACCAAGAGCCTCCAACGGAGAAGCTGGACAGGAACGCCTGCATCTCCCATTTCAGCAAACTGTGCAGACAAACCGCTATTATCCTACATGATCCTCCATTCCTAACACAGATTGGCAGAGAGGGTTCATTCAACTCACACAGAATCCAGTCCAAATCCCAGCAAAATCAACACAAGTGCCCTGGTGCACCATCTACAACCTCTTTAGAAGCCCAGAGGGTCCCAATCCTCAAAGCTTCATCTGACCGCAGCAGATTTCATCCCAATAGAAAGTTCCCACTCCAGATCTCCAAGCACATGAAGGTGGTGCCTGCTTTGGCGATAGGATTGGCACTGCTGCATCTTTTATACATTTTTTCTCCTAACTCCTTTATCAGGACTGTTAGCAAAATCCCTTACCATTATTGAGTCTGATCTAAGTAGTAAGCTAAGAAAATTAAATTAATGTCATTCTCAGTTACATTTAGAAATTGCAAGCTAAGCAGCTGCCGCTTATTCCTAGTAACTCGAAGAATATTATATTGAAAGAAGTCTTATAATAACATATATTGATTTTGTCAGGTTTGGGCTTTTTTTTCCCCCAAAGAACATATGTTGCATGTTCTATATTTGTGGGGCTACACCGATGCAGGTTTCATTGCAGTAGCTCTGACTCTTGCCAAACAGATGTTGAGGGAAAGCAACTTAACACAACATGGGATAAAAGCTGTCTCAGATCAAAATGTCGGGTTAAGAAAAATCTTGTGGGTAATGCGGTATACTAAAAGCATTGATTATATACTTATATACAGGATTGATAGGTAGCTGAATTAATGCTTGACCACATTTGTTGAAATCAAGGTATCACGTAGAAAAAAATTACCAAATGCTAAGAGTTATGTTAATTAAAGGACAGCAGCTATGTAAGTTTTTTAAGTTCCAAAGTATTCCTATAATTCATTTTACCTAAAGTCCAGATTCTCACTAATACCCTAACAGCCAGCTGAAATAGTTTGAAAAGTGATGAAGAGTTTGAAAAGGCATGTCTTTAAACCACCCTCTCAAATAATAAAATGGCAAATGATTCCCAGTCCCCAAACACAAAGAATTGGAGTATTATCCTGAGACTGACAGAGTTCTCTGCAGTTTGCTGTAATTTGTGTAATGCCCCATCAGTAGGGCTTAGCTTATTCCAATACTTTGTTCATGACTAAGCCTTAATGACAGAATTCAGTTCAATTTACTCTCTGAGAAGACAGAGGTTAATTTTTTACCATTCAGAATCAACATTTTTCATCACCTATACCCTTTCCCATTATGAAAATAATTAGATTTGTATAAAGTAGAGTCAGTTCAGCACATGAAAACTGACAGGAAATCCTTCAAACCTGTTTTTTCCCTTGAATTTAGTAACAGTGTTTGCTCAAAACATGGTACTAACCGCTTCAGGATTTTAAGCTTGGTTTAGCAAATATAATAAAAGACAAATGATGTTAGAAGACTTCTGTGGTTACTTTCAATGTATTTCTGATTTACTCAAGAACAATTCTTTGGATATCCATGACAACAATCCTTTCTAACCTCAGGTATGTAAGTTCTGCTGCTTCTGAACTGGTACCGATCAAAAAAATCTGCAATGTGTTTCCTTTACCATGAAAAAGGAACTTGCAGTTCCAGAAGCCAGAAATAAGCTCATCTGCCCCCTCATACAGAAATAATTTTCAAAAGTTGGCAGGAAAATCTAGTTTCTTCCACATTCACTGCTACAGAAAAGTGATTATACTCTGATACGAACTTGTTACATAAACTTTCAAAGCAGTGAAAAGATTCCACATCGGAAAAAAAAAAAAAATTAAAATCAAACCCAGTCAGTAGATATTTTACAACATTTTATATTCATAAAACAGGTACTAAAGAAAAAAAAAAAAAATCACAGTCTTTCAGAGTTCAGAGTTCAATTTTTCTCTCCTAAACCCAGAGGGAAAGACTAAAGGTTTACTTCACCATATAGATTGAAAAACAAAAGCCATGATTCACTTATTTGCCAGAGATTAGATGGGGATTTCTTAAAGAACCAAATATTACAAAACACCATCTAAAATCTTGCTTTTCGACAACGTTATTTGACAATCAACTGGATCTAAGACAGCTGGTCTATCATCTGTATTTCTATTAACTCTGAATTATCTATGTTTTTCAATTCATGTACATTAAAACTAGTATTAATATATTTAGCAATAGAATGTTATTAAAGCAAAAACTATAACCACTATCACAAATCCACGTTGTTGAAAATTACTCTACTTTCATGTATGTTTATGAAAGCTCCCCAAGCATCATAAGCAAACTGAACACGAAGAAAAAGTCAAGGTTTGTAAATAAGATTCCACATAAAACAAATCACAAGAAGTCTTAACATTGGCACCTGATTGCATTTAGACAAAAACACATCAAGGTACATACCTGTAAATCTGTTGAATATTTTCAGCTTTGATTTCCTTGAGAATTTCATGGTAGATATGAAGGTTATTTGGTTCTTGAGACGTTGGGGGAGAAGGGCATTTCTTGCGTGCATAATATCCTATCACAATTCCAAAAATAAATAAAATCAAAGCAGTGCAAAATACTTTCAGTATCTGAAAAAAATTGCAGCGGTTGCTCTTTGGTGCCTGTCTCGTATAGTGTGAGATGTAGTCAGGGTCTTCCTGAAGCCGCTGGAATCTTCCCTTTGGAGAAGATGATGGCTGGATGGGCTCCAGATCAAGGTCAGGGCTCTGCGAGTTTCCCAGGTGATGCTGGACCGCACCATCCAGTCGGAAATGGTCAAAGCCAGGCTCCTCCAGCTCTTTTTCCATGTCCCATTCCAGTTCCAGCGCTGTGGCTTGGAGCTCATCGTTGTCCAGGTACGGAGAGTGCCCCTGTGCTCTCTGGTCTGCATTCACTTTGTGATAGGCCATCTTTTTATCTATTAAAACAAAATTTTAAAAAACCCTAAATGTTTGTTTCCTTATGTATACATAAACAATTTATTTATTCCTTATAAACCTGGGAGAACTAAGCATATATAATAAAAAGCAAAACCTGGGTTCTCAGTATTTCACTGTCCCTGTTTCCATCATCTTGTCTTCTTTTGTAGGCTCAGCAGTACCATGAACATCGTCAGAGGGAAAAGAAGGTATTTAAAGAAATACAATATATTGTGAAAATATGAATAAAGGGGATTTACAAGTGCCAATGGCAAAACACCAAAGTTATCCTATTATTTTGTCAGTCCCCAAGATAATATTAAAAAATTGAGTGAAGGCACAGAGTTTCCAAAACAATTATTTACTACCTGAAAGTAATTTTAAAGCTTAACAACTGTATGTATCAATTTCATTTCACACACCATACAAAATAATGTTGTTAAAATAAAGTTGAAAAAGTAGAAATAATATAACTTGCCTGATCTGATTCTAAACACCAGGAAGTGATAAGTTAAAAAAGAAATTTCAGGGTGACACTGTACTTACACATCAATAAAAGGCTTCCATTTAGATGGAGCATTCTATTATTTATAGGTATTTTAAATGCATAGTTCCTGAATGACTGATGAATTTACTTAGAAATTGTCCCAGCTGTTTTGCTCCATTTATTTTTCCCATTTTAATGAATCAAAAGCACTGCCAGGTAAGTATTTATATCAAAATCATTCCTTTAATAGCAAGGCATATCTGTGGCAATTCTAGACATTTCTATGGAAGTATGAGCCCTCTAAAGGGAACTCTGACCTCGAGTACAAACATTCAAAGTCAATTTTCAACAAATCATTTTTAACAGACTGCAACAATAGGGTGCCGTTTTTCTCCATACTCTGACAATAGCTATTCCATCACATAAGCATCTGTAATTTAGGGCTTTTCAAACACCAGACTCGCTCATCAATTAGAATAAAATGAAAATAAAGATATTAAACCTCTCACAGTGATGGATATCGGTCTGACACCTACAACACTACGTTATCCCTCTATTTTTACATTTCAAGGCATTTTCTTT